GTAATAAGCCTACCTTACTTGAAAACTCATTGAGAAAAAGCTGTGAGAAACAGTCCCAGCAGTCCTCAGAAAGGACATTTCATTTCTTGTCTTCAACAGGACCAGTGCCTTTTGTTTTACGTTATCTTCTGTATTAAAATATGTGGTGATTTGCCAGCTGTAGACGAAACAAGCCCACCTACACCTTGACCTGGGAGGGGGCATGTGACCGTTACTACACTTAGTGACAGTGACACCAGTCCCCGTGACACCCGCGCCTTGACTGCCTCTCCCCCTGCAGCCCGGCCCGCCTGCAGACACCATGGACTTGGGGTCACCTGGTGTTACCCCTCCAACAGCGTCAGAGGGTTTGCTCTGCACCCCTCAGGCCTCTCCGTGATGGCACGGACCCATGCGGTGGAACATGAGAAGCAGCGTTTTCTTCCATTGTGTGTGAGGTCGCACGGGTCAGCTTGACACATGCTAACATTTTTATGTTTTTTATAATTACCAGTTTATTCTTATATTCAAACATAGATCGCTGAAATTCCACCTTATACTCATATCTTTAAAATGAAACTATAATGTTAAACTGTCAATCTTGGTGTTCTGTGCTTAGGAGCCTTGGTGGCTTAGTGGTCACGGGTCAGGCTGCAATCCTCAGGGCCAGCAACTGGAAGCCACCAGCCACTCCCTGGAGAAAGAAGGGTCTTTCTATCCCTATAAAAAGTTAAGTTCTGGAGACCCACGGGCAGTTCTAACCTGGCCTAGACGGTGCCTATGAGTTGGCATTGGCTTGAGGGCAGTGACTTTGTTTTGTTGTTGTCTATTCTGTGCGTATTTCTGTTATGGGATTAGAGCATCCATGACTTGGCACATGCGCAGGGAAAGGTTAGGTATTCTTGTTTTTTTCTTCGGAATGTGTTTTCTCCTTGGGGGAAAAAAACAAAAAACGCAGTCCCCTTGGAGATTGTTCTCAGATGTGGCAGACTTCCACGTGTCTTTTTAAAAAGACTGGTATTTGGTTTAAGATTAGTAATCTTTAAGTACAATCTTATCCTTATTACTTAAAGTACTATTACATAAATCA